ATAAATAAAATAAATAAACCTACTAAGAAAAGACAAAATCATGAAAATGGTAACAGTTAGAGCAAACTGTCCAATGTGTGACCAGCAACTTCTGGGAAATGTAAACCTTGTGACAATTATGTGACGCTCCTGTAAAATTTCCAAAAATTAGGTAAGGGGACAATGTGGTTACCATGGAAACCTAAAAGGTATTTAAAGATATCTAAATGCAAAGTCCATCCCAGGTCGGCATTCTCTGACTTGGCTTCTGGGTTTGTCAGTCACCAAGTTTATTTTAGCTTTGCTGGGTCCTATATTTGGTTTTTTGTGTTTTCTCACTGATTTGCTGCAACAGTGGTATTGTTGCTGCTGTTGTTGTTGTTGAACCAAGGTGTTAAAGCAAGTACCAATACTGAGTAGACTAGTGAACTGCTCTAAAAATTCAGGCCTCATTTAAGCTCTCTTTAACCTACTGCAGTTTGGAACTGAGCCCTACCCTTCCCTAGAGTTGGCTCCAAGCTCCAAGTTCAGCATAAGGTCAACCATAGTTACAAGTAGAGGGAGGGAAAATAAATTTCCTCTTTTCCTTTTCTAGTCTCAATTCTAAGGACCAGAACTGGGGGTAAGGCAACCCTGCTCCTCCAGACATAGTCCTCAAAAGTGGCACCTTTTGTACAACTCTTAAAGTAATAATTGACATAACAGAATGTTAATCATGCACATTATAAAAAGATTTAAAAGAAGTATGTGAGAAACATGTAGAATATAGTCAAAATGAAAGAGGACCCAATGCTCCTCAAGAGGTACTTTTTGTTCTTTCATCTTTGACAGCCACTGATGCCCCAAACACTTCCTCGCCAGCAACAGCTACATCAGGTGCCCCACAACCGGTCGGGAAGACTTTTCCATTCCAAATGCCACTGTCCCACAGCTGCTCTGGATGACCCCTCTCTGAAGACAGATACCTCCCTTCTGATCTGTGAGAAGCCCTTCCCATACTCATGACTCAGAAGAAAGTCCTCAGACAGCTGGCAGGACACTGGACAAGTGTGAGCCCACTTTTCTGGTCCACATAAAGTCTTCCCTGCAATCAAAAGGAACAGTGTACGTACTGCTTTCCCTTCTGTTATAGCATCTCTGTTAGGCCAGGAAGGCTTTTTTGAAATGGCTTTACTTTGGCTATTTCTAAGATCTAACTCATATACAGAAGGCAGAGTTAGTCATATGTAGCTGGAAACACTAAAAGCTGTGGCCTCTCAGCAGCCTGGACTAATAACACTGACAGCATTCAGCAGGCAGAAGTGTGACTCCAGCTGCATGAAGAGTTCTAACAGTCGCCAGCAGCTGCTCCATCCAGCTGCCAAATGAGGGGCTAACAAGGTAGCTAAGAGTTGAGATCCACTGATACTCAATGCTCAGAGATGTCAACACTAAAGCAGCGGCACTTTGCATATGTAGGAATTCTATCGAATTGAAAAAAAAAAAAAAAAAAAAAAACACCTCAGCATATTGGCAACAAAAAAGAAAGCACTTTTAAATATGTGCTTCTTTCCCTTCAACTCCATAAATCAAGTCTGAATCATCATTCTGTTACCTCGGGACACAAAAGATATCGCATCCCTACATCCCCATTTTTTCAACAAAAAATTCCAAGGAGAGAGAACACAGTTACCAGTCTGGGGTTAATAAGGGTACAGCCCCAAGAGGCCCCTAAACTACAAAATGTTCTTAAACTGTGTCCCATGGCCCACTATAATTTATAAAGGTAAAAATTTCTCCATCTTACATCAAAAGTGGATGAAGCGGGGCTGGTGAGATGGCTCAGTGGTCTAAAGCACCTACTTAGAACAAGCTTAGCAAAGCACAGGGACCGCGGTTCAATCCCCCAGCACCACATGTCAGCCAGCCCCGCCCCCTGTTGGGCTGAGCTGGCCACACACACACACACACACACACAAATAAATAAAATAAATTTTTTTTTAAAAAAAGAAAATACTAACATTTAAAAAAAAAAGTGGATGAAGCATTACTACAACAGAGAAAAGAGCCCAGCTTAAACTAAACTCCAATTTGTGGGGGCGACAGGACCTTTTAGGGACAATGAAGGCATGGGACCAGGGACTAATTTCCACAGCTGTTTTCCCCAAGTTTCTCCTTTCAAAACCAAAAATCACAAACACTAGGCGGCGCTCTCTGCAACCGCCTGAAGAGGAAGCTGCGCTCACGCGAGAACTACGACTCCCAGCAGCAACGGGAGAGTGAAAACGTCCCACTTCCGGGGCCCGCGAACTCTTGCGCCCGGGCGCATGTACCTTTGATTCGCTGTGCCAAATCTGCTCTCGTTTTCAGGGGCCCGAGCCGGTCGACCAGATAGTGGCGGCAGGAAGGACAGCGAGTACAGCACAGTCCTGTGAAGCAAAGGGTCGGCGACCAGGCTGAGCGGAAGACCTCCGGCGGCCATGCGGCGACGTGCTTGCGTCACTTCCGCTAGGCGGGGCTTCAGTTATCCCGCGCAAATTGAAAGGTTCAGCCTTTGGCGTGGAGCTGAAGCAGGGCCTGTGCTCGCCGCAGGCCCTAGTTGCTGGGGTTCAAGTGAGTGAGGGGTGTCACAGTCGGATACCGGAGTCCCCTCCCGGCTGCCTGCGAGGGAACAGGGAAAATGAGGGGAGCGGGCAGTGCGAAAGCTGAAGGGTGGGTCCCCGCGGAGTCGAACCCGAACCCTTTGCCGCCCGCGTTCCTCCGGTTGAGACCTTAGGCCTTCTGGGGAGTAAAGGGGGCGTCTGGCTTGGTCTTCGCGACCCTGCACAAAGGCTTGGGTCTCGTGGGAGCGAGTGACCAGGCCAGGACTGTAGATCCGGGAGCGCAGGGAGTCCGCGCTCGCGGCAGACTGTTGTGGGCGGGAGCGGGCACGGCAAGGTTGTCCCGCATCTCACGCTTTTCCGCAGAAGCTGACAGTGCAGTTCTTACGTGCAGTCGCCCCATTTTCAAGTGATGACAAGGAAATATTTTCCTTAACCTACAGGCCGAAGAAACAAGTGTGTGGCATGAACTTGCCGCTACGCCTGCGCATCGCCCTGGGTCCAAACTAACACGGGACATAGCTGCAGTTCTTGTTCCTCGAGTGCCCCGGGTGACCTCCTGAGTTGGTATGTGCCGTGTGGCACACGGCCATTCGTGCCATGTCAAGGAGGAGATGCTTACTCGAGGACATTTACCTGGCCTAGAAGAAGTGTACCTAAGGTTCAGGAAATGTATATTACGTCTGTTTTCCTTGCCATGATAGTAGATTGTGTCTCTCAAAGTGTGATTTAAAGACCTCCTGCATCCAAATTGTACGTGGCGCCCCAGAACTTGTGACTCATAGTCAGTGCGGGTGCAGAGGAAAGTCTGCAGACTGCTGGACCGAACATCGTAACTCTAATGCTGTGTCAGTAGGGTAAGGCTGACTTCAGATCCCCTACTCTTTCTTTTCTTTGCTTCTAAACTTGATGTTTAGTAGGAGATTCATATTATTCTCCCCGAAGTTCCGGCCTCCCAGTTCTTTCTAGGGAAAAATGGCCGAAGGATTTTTTTTTTTTTTTTTTTTTCCGAATGCCTTCAAGGCATGTGGTTTTTTTTTGTCGCGGAATGCTCACAGCAACTTGAGCCTGACTGCTTTGTTGAAGCAGACACTTAAAGAACTGAGCTAAGGGGCAAGCCCCCGAGATTCATATTATTAAATATCAGTTCACTACTCACTCCCCAGTGCTGGTCTTATTTTTTATCTGAAGTGGGAATTTGAGCGTAGTAGTATTTTTAGCTTCTGAACATTTTTAACCATTATTTACTTATTTGGTATAAGGTCTGGTTATGCGACTCAGACTCATCATGATCCTCCTGTTTCAGCCTCCCCAGCGCTGGGATTATAGGCATGTGCCACTAAGCCATGCGCTCTGAGGCTGGCAAGGTATGCAGTACCGGGATTGAACCTGGTCCTCTCGCTTGCCAGGCAGGCACTTAGACTACCAAGCTATCTCCCCAGCCCAAGCTCCTGAACTTTTGTGTAGAAAGGACTTTGGGGCTACAACTTGGATGAAAGAGAGTGGGCAGTTAAAGCATTTGTCTTCAAGCTGTATTTGTGCAGCAGAAGTAGTTTCACATTTCTTGGGGGTAGCTTTTATCTTTCAATTAAAATGCCTATCTTCCTATAAACTTTTAAGTTTCTCCTGTGTGACTTTGAAAATTGGCTCTTTCATTTGTAGAGGCACTGATACTGTAGCATGCACACTTTTGTAGACTTTTACAATGCCTTTGGGTGTATGTGTGGTACTGGGTATTGAACCCAAGAGCACTCTGCCACTAAGCTGTGTCTGCAGCCCTTTTTGTGCTTTGAGACAAGGTCTTGCTAAAGTGTCTAGGCTTCTCTGGAACTGGCAAGCCACCTGCCTCAGCTGCAGTAGCTGGGATTACAGACGGTGGTGCCAACATGCCTGACTTTGACAGTGCCTTTTTGAAGAAAGAAGAACCTCCTTCATGTTTGAGCACCTACTATGTGCCTGGAGTTGTTAAGAATTTGAAAAGCACTTCATAATTCTCTTAAATGTAAAAACACTTCAGAAAGAGTAAACCTTGGAGCCAGGGAGATGGCTCAGTGGAATAAACACATGCCTGGCAAGCACAGGGGTCTGAGTTCAATCCCTGGTTTCACCAAAAAAAAATAATAATAATAGAGCAACTTTAAGCAACCATTGAGTGGCATCAGAGGTAGTATGTTAATGATTAATATAAATCCTAGACTATGGAAATTGGCAGGGAAAAGTACTTTATTAGCTAATAGTAACAGATTCTGTGTTGGCTTGCAAGTTTCTTTGTTTCTCTAAAGCTTTTTGGTGAATATATTTTGCTTTAACTATTACTGTTTTTCCTCTCCTACTAGGTGGTTAATTTGGCACAATGGGGATACAAGGATTGCTACAATTTATCAAAGAAGCTTCTGAACCCATCCATGTGAGGAAGTATAAAGGGCAGGTAGTAGCTGTGGACACCTATTGTTGGCTTCACAAAGGAGCTATTGCTTGTGCTGAAAAACTAGCCAAAGGTGAACCTACTGATAAGTAAGTTTAGATGTGATATTATTTTAGAATGAAGAATGAGACTTGAAAAGAGTGTTGTTGTTTTTTTCCCCAGAAAGATTATGTTTACTTAGTGTCAGAATTTATTAAGAAATAAGGAATTGTGCTTTAGAATATTGCCAAGTCAGGGATGACTTACTGCTTTTATACTCTTGGCTACAGAAAACATACTATTGTTACTACATATGACATAAAAGTGGTGACCATGTTGACCTCTGGTTCTGACTCTGACCTCATTGGAGGCAGATTCAGTAGGCTGATGTATTATTTCTTCAATAGACATACTAGAAAACCAATAGTATAACTTCTACACAGAAAAGGATTGGCCATTTTTGGATGCTATCCTTGTTTTTGTTTTGTTTATTAGTTTGTTGGCAATATATAATTTATCTCCTAAAGAAAAAGCTCACAGATCTTAATATGACTTACTTAAGGGGACCACCTGCTTGGGGGGCTCCTCCTGTCCCTGTCTCGGACAGGCCTTTCTTTCCCTCAATAAGTATATTCTGCTCATTAAAAAAAAATATGTATATATATGACTTACTTAAGCATAATGCACAGTAGCTAAGTGGTGTTAATCTTGTTTCCTAGAAGAAAGGGGATAGGTATTGAATGATTATTGTTTGGGACTTCCTGGCCTATCAGATAGTACATGTGTGGTCTAAAGGAGCATCCACCTGCACATATTTGCATGCTCTGGAATTGAACCTGACTTTGTGTGCAAAGTACCTACTTTACCAGTTAGCTGTATTCACTATCCCAGAGATAATTTTTTGAAAGCACTTTTCCATCAGCAGTTTAACGATTGCAATTATTGTAACTAAAGATTGTAAGTTTTTCATTACTATTTTCAGTGTTTCTCTGTATAGCTCATCAGGGAAGAAAAACTTCAAATTTTTATATTTGATTTCTATTTTTTATTAAATGGAAGAGTTGTTCAAATTACAGGCAATATTCTCTATATGAAAGGTAAAAGATTCTGTTGTAAGTGCATGGCAAATGTTAACTAAAGTAACATGTTTTAGGATTTTAAGAAACTGTCCCATTTGGATATAGCTGATAGTCAGAAAAGATCACCCCAGAAAGTTTAGATAAGCTTATGATAATCCTTTATAACCATCATAAAAATTAAGGTAGATCTATCTGTGCTAATGTTGAAAGGTGTTTATGAAATATCTAATACGAGGGTGGTAGTTATGCTTGTATTCTCTACTTGAGGAAAAAAGTTCTTCAAAGTTACAGTTTTATACTTGCTTTCTTCTAATTTTTTGCTTGAGATTTCTTAATCAGGAAGTCCCAGTCATTGTTATGTCCCAGAACAGGCCCATCATCAATGATCTACAATAAATAAATAAACAGGGTAATGTAGTGAGTAATTAAGATGGGTACATTTGATTTAGAAGGCTATCTTTTGTTTTTCTATTCCTATCTCTGACCTAAAATGTCTTTTTTCTTTATGAAAATTCAGTTGCTTTTGTTAATGGGCTTGCCAGAATAAAAAACTAAGTGCAATACATGATCCTCAATTGCATGCTGGGTTTGGAGAACATAAGTAGCAATGGTATACTGGAGCCAGCTCATCGTAGCTGACCGCACATCTCCTCTTCCCAGCTCAGTATGCATTAACTCCACAGTAGCTCATCCACCACTGTAGAATGAATATTTGCTTCGTAGACATTAGATTCCCCTACCCCTACAGCTGGTCACAAAACATTTGTCAAAACATCACTGGTTATAAGAAACATTATTGGGATTAGTGGGCAAATTTTAATGTAGATTATATCAGATGATATGTGTCCCTGTTCAATATTTTAGTGTGGTTTGGTATTGTTGGAGAAATAAAGTATGGTATTATTTCAACTTTTCAATAGATTTGAAATATTCCAAAATGTGTGTGTGTTTGTCTAGTTTTCCAAGTTTTCTTAAAATAGAGGCATAAATGAGATTTGAAACAACAAAATGTGAAATCCAGAAAAAATATTTTAAAAAACAAAACTTGAAGGGAAAAGTAGCTTACCAACTATTACATGGCCCAAAATTATCCAAGGCATGATTTCAGCCTAAGTCTAAGCTAAAGTTTCTATTCCCAATGTAAACGTTTGTTTTACAAAACAAAATAAAATCTTCAAAATTGTTTCATCTGGTATTAAAGCAGAAATACTACCTTAAGAGTTGTGACGCACTTAAATGTGTTTTTCTTATTTTTTTCTTAGGTATGTAGGATTTTGTATGAAATTTGTAAATATGCTGCTATCACATGGCATCAAGCCTATTCTTGTATTTGATGGATGTACTTTACCTTCTAAAAAGGAAGTAGAGAGGTCTAGAAGAGAGTAAGTTGTCTCTAATATTTAAATTGTGCCAAAGTCAGATGCTCTATCTCAGTGATACTAAAATTTTCAAATCTTAAATATTGAAGCTTGTTTTACCTATGCGAACAGATTTCTTTAAATATTTTGTGTTATTATTGCTGCATTTTCCTTTGACACAAAGCAGTGGAAGTCTGACAGCATTGATATATGTGCTCATGTCCATGTGCATGTGGTATAAATCCTTCTTTGTACCTGGAATCCCAAAGGATCTGGGTTAATGTTATCAGGAACTCAGTGTGTGTACTTTCAGTTAAGTCAGACTTTTCCATTGTAGCAAAATGGGTAGAATTTTTTTTAATAGTGTTTTGATTAGGCCATATAAATTTTTTGAATATGTAAAAATATTCTTCCTTTGCAGAAGACGACAGTCCAATCTTCTTAAGGGAAAGCAGCTTCTTCGTGAAGGGAAGGTCTCAGAAGCCCGAGAATGTTTTACTCGCTGTGTCAATATCACTCATGCGATGGCCCACACAGTTATCAAAGTAAGCAAATAAATTAAGAAAACAGGTTCCAGGGAGATAGCTCAGCAGCATAAGCACCTGAGCAACTGCAAGATCCTGAGTTTGATCCCCACTATCACAGGGAGGGAAAAAAAATTTAAGAGAACAAATAAGCTGCTAAGTTCATTTCCATCACTCTGAGTTGCTTACTAATGGGAAGGGAAGAAAGTCGTGGTAGGATAATTGTTCTAGGGCTGGTCAGGGTTGGGTGTCAGAGGAGAAGGGTACAGCACTCGTAGAGGGCAGGAGGGCAAGAGTTCCTGAGAGACAAACCCTGAGACAAGTGAGTGGGGCTGTCCTTTTTGCAGTAAATGCTTTGGATAGGTGATCTCAGGACAGGGGAAGGAGCAGATTCCTGGGTGTTGCTCCTCACCCCGCCTTCCATAGGCTTCTGCACTAACTTGGGTGTATACACAGGACATATGCACTGTAGCCACAGGAAGAAAGAATGCCTTCGCAAGAAGTAGATAACAAACCGTGATTGGGCACAGATACCGGCGCCAGAAATTGAGTATAGGACACTTGCTAGGTACAAAAAAGTAAAAGAGCACCTTGCATGCAGTGTGGTGGCTTGGTGCCGCTTTCCCCATTTCTTAACCTCCCCAAACCTCTTGGCCTTGGAAGCAGTGACCCATGATTTAGAACAAGAAAGATTGTGTACTAGGTACCTGTGGTGAGGATCTGTTATTTTTGGCAGTTATTTTTTAAAGTACTTTTCTTAGTGGATTTATTTAAATATGGTGAGTAGAATCTATAATTTTTTTCTATATAGTATTAGACTTGTAATGTAACAGGACATGGTTTTTTCAATGTGGAAATTATATGCAAAACTATATAATAGTTTATATGCTTTTGGAACATAATCATTCTAAAGATGAAAACATTTCTAATTTGAGATAATTTTATATCTTACAGGCTTTTCCCCATCCCCTGAATAATAGAAATATATCTCATCTGAACTTATACACTGTTTTAAAATTTCTTAGTGACTATATTTGTAATGTAGGTATACTAGAACTGAAACTCTAAAAAGTACTTCAAAGGTATTGATTTCTCTAAGTAATATTAGCAAATGCAAGTGGAGGCTACTAAGAAGATAGGTTTGAGGCAGAAGTTGCTTAGAGCTTTCCCAATGCCATGCTGGATGTTCACTGTGACCTATCTCCCAGGCGGCCCGGGCTCTGGGTGTGGACTGCCTCGTCGCGCCCTATGAAGCTGATGCGCAGTTGGCCTATCTGAACAAAGCTGGTATTGTACAGGCTATCATCACAGAGGACTCTGACCTCCTCGCTTTTGGCTGTAAAAAGGTACTTAGCTACAACTGCTACATGTTATGCTATGGATAGAAGTAGTATAAGTGATGGGGCCAGCAAGATAGCTCAGCGGACTGCGTACCTGCTTAGGCAAGCTTAGGCAAAGCTCACAGACCATGGTTCGATCAAAACACCACATGCCATGCCAGTCCTGCCCAAAGCCTTGCATGTGTGAGCAGGTGCTCAGCCACAGAGCTATACCTCAACCCATAAATTCTTTAGTATTACGTAGACTTACTAATCTTGCTTTTTTAAAAGTGGTACTAGATGCCTTATATTTTTAATAGAGTAGGTAAATTAACATGTCTACTAAGAGGATATTATTCATTTACTTAGAAGTATGTATAAAATTCTGATGAAAAATTTTAATGGTTACATACCTGTTCAGCTGTCATGAGGCAAACCAAAAAACTAACCACTGCTATTGGACTTCCATTGCCCTCCAAGTCTGACAACTATGCATATGCAAAAATGCAGAGGAAATTTTGCCAGGAAAATCCTAGCAGAATTGGTACTCTGTTTAGGATACTGCACTTCAAGCATGTTCATTACTGTTAATTTTAGCATATTTTCAAGTGTAAGTAATGCCTCATGGACATATTTGGCTCCTGGACATTGATTTCAGTACTTTTTAAAACCAGAAGGGTTACCTGTGCAGAAATTTTATCTAAGAAACATTTGATTAAGGTAGCTATAACCAAACGTATTTAAGAATATTATAAAATATGTTTGTGGTCCCCTTGTGAAACAAGTCTTGAATATATTATGAGACTATTATTGTTGATTGGGTATTTTTCTTTCTTTTAAGATAGCAACTACAAAAAGCTATGAATTTATATAAAAACAGCAAGGTTTTTTTTTTTTTCTTTTATGTTAGAAGAGTACCAAAGAGTTTTTTTTCCCCCAGAGTTTTAAGAAAGAGAAAAAAATGTTGATCATGATATATATAAAGGGATAATTATATAAAACTGTAGGATGATCTAATTTTTGTTAATTTATTACAATACAATAGTATTGTTTATTGTGTATATCCTTAATAGATAACTAAAGGGATCTATGTTGTAAAAGGTTAATCCTGGATAACAGTGATAAATGAAAAATTGTGGACAATTTCTTGTTCTTTTGAAATTCTTGTGTCTGCCAAAGTTCCCACAATAAATATATATTATTTTAATAAGAAGAAAAGATTGATTACTTCAAATGTAAAAGGAGGAGGTAAGAGAAAGTCCATTAGTATTTGATCATCATCACAGCCTGGTAACAAAGGTAGGAGCAGGGAGGTTGATGAAGTGTTTATGCCAGTTGTCAGTGGCGTCTTGACTCAGTCTGGTCTAGTTCTGTCCTGTGCTACAATTCAGCTGCTTTGCATATTTAATTGTCAGATCCAGCCTACCTACTTTTCCTATATCTCAGTGTTAACAGTGAAGAATAAGGATTTCTTAGCATTATTGCAATGCATTTGATAACCATGAATCGTTGTGATCTAAGTACTAACAATTTTCACTCCTTTTGAAGGTAATTTTAAAAATGGACCAGTTTGGAAATGGACTAGAAATTGATCAGACTCGGCTAGGGATGTGCCGACAGCTCGGGGACATATTCACAGAAGAGAAGTTCCGTTATATGTGTATTCTTTCCGGCTGTGACTACCTCCCATCACTGCGTGGGATTGGATTAGCAAAGGCATGCAAAGTGCTGAGACTGGCCAATAATCCAGACATTGTAAAGGTAACAGTGACTTACTAAATGCCACATTCAATTTCTTACTGTACATTTCTTTCTTTTGTTTTGGTACCAGAAATCAAACTCAGGACCTTACACTTGCAAGGCAGGCTCTTATGCCACTGAGCTATCTCCCTAACCCCAATATTCAGTTTCTGTAACGTGTTTTAAATGATAAACTACTCAAGAGTGTGGATTTTAAATGTTCTATTTTTTTTTTTTTTTGCATTTATTATTTTTTTATTTAATTTATTTATTTATTTGTGTGTGTGGCCAGCTTAGCCCACCAGGGGGCGGGGCTGGCTGGCATGTGGTGCTGGGGGATTGAACCGTGGTCCCTGTGCTTTGCTAAGCTTGTTCTAAGTAGGTGCTTTAGACCACTGAGCCATCTCACCAGCCCCCTTTATTTTTTATTTTAAAGAGGAAAGAAACAAAACAAATAAAAAAAGACAAAAACAAAGCACCATAAGCCAAAATGTCATGCAGAATTTCAAAATAGAACAGGAGATTAATAATCTTGATAATTGTTGTTACCAAATTTGTTGCTCAGACTACCAGATATTGGCATGTATGATTGATCAAATAGTTAAAACATTAACTCTTCCTTTCCATAAACCTTGAAAATGTTTTTACTTGTCCTATTTACTTTTAAATTTTATTTTATTTTTTTCATAATTTTATTGAGAAATAAATAGCAATGAAACAGTTGCAAATCAAATTGGTAGGACAGTTCCAATAATTAACACATTGCATACTGCCTTCCTAGTGGTTATTTGTTGTACAAGATGCAGACATGATATCCTATTTACAAACACCATTAGAACAAATCCCTCTATTCATTAAGAGAATGTAACTATGTATCTATCCTAACCATTTTGAATACATAGATACAAAATGATCATTCATCTATATCCCCTTTTCTTGTTTAGTTCCATCATTTAAATATTATAAGTGTGTGAACTCAGCAAAATATTCCAAAATAGTCCAGTAGTCCATAATAGTATTGGGTCTTCCGCTTGACTGGCAATGTCAGAAGTTGTTGACCTGAGTCCCCCACAGCTCAACATAACACCATGGCTTTACTGCTTATCGTTGTTTTTATACTTTTCTGCTGGATGGTTAAGACCAAGATAAAGCAAGACCTATGCAACAAGAGTTGTAGCTTTTGGATCTGATAAGGTCAGTCCAAATCCCCTCAGGATTTATCCTGAGACCCTGTACCTCAGATTGTAGATCCTTTGTCAGTGTCAGCCATGTGGATGAGTCACGGCCATTGCTTGGCCATCTATTATTTTATTGAACACATAACTTAAAACACTAGGGGCTGGTGAGATGGCTCAGTGGTCTAAAGCACCTACTTAGAACAAGCTAAGCTAAGCAAAGCACTGGGACCGCGGTTCAAACCCCCAGCACCACATGCCAGCCAGCCCCCGCCCCCTGGTGGGCTGAGCTGGCCACACACACAATAAATAAATAAATAAAAATAAAAAATAACGTAAAACACTAGACCTTTGTTTTCAGCAACTAACAGATGCTGGAAGAAGTGTATTTTCAGTAACAAATTAGTCACCATTTTTACTAGACTGAAGGGCCAACTATCTGGGGTAGAATTAATGGTAATTAGTGGTAAAATTCTATCTTTTGATTTCTGTCTTATTTTGCCCTTTAGTAGTCTTCTCAAACTTTTTGGTCTGAGGATAGCAATCTCTTGACTTTCTCCCCCACCAGTATTGGCAGTTGAACAAAGGGCCTTTGTTTTGATCCCCATCCCTGGTCACCCTTTTTGAGTTAGTCTCACTAACTTACCCAGGCTGGGCTTAAGTTTGCTATCCTCCTGCCTCAGCCTTCACAGTTTTAAAAGTGCTTTGGTAGTAATTTTTGTTTGTATGGGCTCTAGCTATTGGTATTTACAAAAGAAAAAATTGAAACAAAACTTAAGTACATATTAAACTTAATAAACTCCTTGCATAATAACATGGTAGTGCTGTTTTGAAAAACTACCATAGTTTCAAAACATAAAAGCCAAGAGATGAATTGTATATTGAATGCAGATCTTTTACTATGGCTGAAAGATAACTGTCATACATCTTCATTCAGTAACAGGTGCTTTGTATCCTCTGAGAAATTAAGTGACTGATCGTCAACTACTGTAGTTTTCCTGATGCCTTTACCCTGATAAATAAATGTGCCTCAGAACGGGACGTGTAGCTCAGTGGCAGAGCATCTACCTACATGTACAAAGTCCTGAGTTCCATTGCCAGCACCACAGAACACTAAAATGGAACCTGAATCTACCTTAAAGAAGCTCACTTAGACAGTTCTCAGCAAGCCTTGGTGTTTGCAGAGTAGAAATCTCATTTTCCAAGAATAGGAAATGAGAGTTCTCAGGATGCAAGCGGTGTGGTGTTATGGAAAGATCCTGGGTTAGAAGCTCATGACTTCTTTGGAAATAAACATCCCTAGCTAGCCTGTGCCTCCATGACCTTCGTGCTAGCTCTTTCTTTCATCTATGAATTTAAATAAGTAGTCATGCGTTGCTTAATAATGAGGATACATTCTAAGAAATGTGTCCTTGTGGAATTTTGTCACTGTGCAAACATAAACTGATGTATTTAGACAAGCAAAGGTGGTTCTGATGTCACTAAGTGATAGAATCATAAGGGACTGCATTTGGATATGCAGTCTGTTGTTGAGAGAAACATCATTATGTAGCACATAACTAATATTTAAGATACCTTTTGTATCCGTGGCCAACAGGAGATACAATGTGGATTATATTTTAGAAATATGATCCAGAAATATTTTCCTTCTCAAGTTTCCTGGAGGTTTTTGTTTGTTTGGGTTTTTTTTTCCTGGATGAAATGAACTGTGAAGGTGAATAACATACCTTGAAGTTATGCTGGGAACATAATTTTTTTTTTCCCCCTGTATTTAGGACAGGTCTACAGGGTCTCACTACATAGATCAGACTTGTGAGTCTCCTGTTTTCAGCTTCCCAAGTGCTGGGATTACAGGTGTGCTCCACCACGCCCAGTCTCTCAGCATACCCCATGGGCCAGGCCAGCACAGCACTTCAGGGATTGAACCCTGGCCACTGCGCTCTGCCTAAGCAGGCGCTTTAGTCCGCTGAGCTATCAGGCCAGCTTCAGGGAAAATAAATTTGATGTATAACTGAATTTTTGTTCCTTTGTGTTAATTACAAAACCAAGAAAATACTCGTTATGGGAATTAGAATCTTTAAGTGATGTGACACAGTTATATGTGTTGGTACAATTTTTTAATGTAGATGAATGTAATTGATATTGCAGTCTCTCTCTCTGCTAATGTAAATCAGTCTATTTTAGGGTTTCTATTCATTAATTACAGATAAAACCTTTTGCATCTTAGGTTATCAAGAAAATTGGGCATTATCTCAAGATGAATATAACAGTCCCAGAAGATTACATCAAAGGATTTATTCGAGCCAACAATACTTTTCTTTATCAACTAGTTTTTGATCCCATCAAAAGGAAACTTGTCCCTCTGAATGCCTATGAAGATGACATTGATCCTGAAACGCTAACCTATGCTGGACAGTATCCTTTTTATTCATTGAAATTCCCAAAATTTTCAAGCAAGTTTTTTTTGCAACCTCAGGGTCTTCTGCTGTAGCATATAATTGGATTGATTAAATAGGAACAAGCACTGAGTCGACCACTTAGGATCCACATTCCAAAAATGGCATGTGGGAGAAGGCCTTACGGGAAAGCAAACTCAGCTTACCTGGAGAACCAGTCAGGACATAGGAATGCATCATGAGATGATGTAGCCACTGGCCAGTAGCACTCGGGCTGATAGGAGACCCTGAGCCGCTTCGGTAGTATCCAGGACTTTTTCTCCATATATCTGTCCCTTAAAAGGCAGGGTAAGGGGTAATGTAGGGCTTTGTAAGATGACCAATTCCTATAGACACAAGTAGGGAATAGCAGACTATGCCTGTAGTTCTGTACCAATGATAGAGAAAGTGGTTCTGTACCATTTAAGTCATAAACCTTCAAGAGTTTCTATGGCAATAGTGTTTTCCTATCTTAGAATGGCATAATTTGATTGGTGGTTCATGAAGACATTTTTCCTTAATTTTACAAACCTAGGTACATTGATGATTCTGTAGCTCTTCAGATAGCACTTGGAAATAAAGATATAAATACTTTTGAACAGATTGATGACTACAATCCAGACACCACTATGGTAACAGTAAAGAAATGACTGTGTTGTATGTTATGAAATCTTCAGTACTGAGCATTTCCTTTGAATATACCAAGCATATGATGCCTTTTTTCTCATCTCACCATATTTGGCGTCTTTGATAAGGGCGTAGTTGAAAGCCCAGCCTAGAAACATTATCCTTAAAAGCACAAGCTCTGTTTTTATTTATTCATAATTTAGCAAATATGTAAACAGCCTACTATGTGTCTTTGGATCCTATTCTGGTTTCTTCTTTGTGTTCTGATGAAGTTTTGTACCAGACTCAATGTAGACCAAAGCTTTCTGGTTTTCAATATGCACTGTCTACTAAGGATGATACTAGGTCTGGGTCCAGTAGAAACCAGTATTTTATAGCCTAGAATGTTTTGATTTGAATTCATGCAATTTCTAGAAATATTTGAGATTACCTTAAATATATAATTTAATTGGCAGTTAAATTTTAACAGATATGTATATGATTACTTGAGGGTAAATTACCAGATGACATTTTTAATTAATATTGAACTAATATATTTTAAAGGCACATTTTTCCTGTCCACATTTCTTCAAACCCAAACTTATTTTTGCACTGTTCATCTTGGGAAGTTTTATTTTTGATTCTTAGAAATGAGTCTACCAGGTGACCTGACTCCCTTGGAGAGTCTAAAACACAAGATAGATGTAGCTGAGAAGTATAAAACTAGCGGGGCTGGGGGAGATGGCTCAGTGGAATAAGTGCTTGCCTGGCAAGCCCAAGGACCTGAGTTCAATCCCCGGTTCCACCAAAAAAAAAAAAAAAAAAGTATAAAACTAGCAAAATCGATATTCAAAGGTTTTATGTGTTATAATCTATATAAAGGGAAATGAATTGATTATTTTCCTCATTCAAGTAAACTTTTTCCTTTTATTTTTTAGACTTCCTTATTAAGAAGTCACAGTTGGGTTGAAAAAACAGCTCAAAAGTCATCTTCTGTTAATAGCATTTGGCATAAGAATTATTGCACAGCATTTGGGACGGATATTGTTTCGGATGTTGCACGTTTGGAAGAAAAGCCAAGTACCGTGGGCATTAAACACGTGATTAGTACTAAAGTGTTAAATCTTCCAAGGAAGTCCTCTGTGATGAAAAGACCACGAAGTGGTATGTATTGCGTTTTGGCAAGGCACCAGCAAGTATTTGTCATACTGAAGAATTTGCCAAGGTGTCAAACGATTTTGTCCTTTTTATGATTTTAGCTCTTAAATTTAGATCTGTGGTTGTTTTAATCTTTTATTTACATCATGTGAGGTAAGGATCAAGATTCCTTAGATATTACTGTCTGGTTGTTCCGAAACCAATTGTTAATAAGTTTTCCTCTCCCCATTTAACTGCCTTTGCACAGATATGCAAAATCAGTTGACTCTATGTGAGTCTTTTATGTACCCTATTATACTATTTTAGCTTTGTAGTACACCTTGAAATCAGTATGCATCCGTTGAGTTTTTTCAGAAGTTATTTTGGCTAGACTATGTTCTTCCTATTTCCTTAAGAATTAGCTTATCAGTTTCTTTTTTAAAAAATAAAAGGTTATGGAGATTTTTAATTGAATCTATAGATCAACTTGGAAAGATATGGTATCTCAACACTGAGTTTTCTGATGTTGAGTCTTAGCTCAATAATTGAGCTAAGATTCAATTTTTATGCATTAATTTTATGTCAAACTGCATTAATTCTAGTATTTCTTTTGTAAATTCTAGGTTTTCTATGTAGATCACAGCAGTTAGCAGATAAAGGCATGTTTACCTCTCCTTTTCTAGGAGGTTCCTTTTTTCTTTCTTTTTCTTAATTGTTAGAACCTCCAGTAAAACATTGAACAGGCCCATGAGATAGCTCAGCAGACTAAGCAGCTGCTTAGGCAAGTACAGGGACCAGCTGTCCATCCCCACTGGCCCTGCCCCCGGGCGTGCTGAGCCAACCTCCCAAACCAGGTGTGGTGGTGCACCCCTATAATCCAAAGGCTGGGGAGGCTGAAAACAGGAGGATCACTGAGTCCACTGTGCGTAGTGAGACCCTGTACCAAATTTTTTTTTTTTTTTTAAATTAAACAGATCTACTGAGAATGGAGCACCAGCCTTTAAGAAGTGGGTTTTTCCTTTTGTCTTAGAAGTCATTTAGAAGTACCATAATTATAGCCTCATTTTCTTCCCTCAGATAACTACATCAATGGATGAATTATTAGCAACAAAAATAAAACCAAGCCCTTTGTAAAGCTTGAGTTTATACTTTTATTGTTTAACTAGGTACAGCTTATACACAGTTGGCCAAAATGTTCTGATTCCACATGAGTCGGAATGTTTTCCATGAAATATCACTGAACCTTTGTTTATTCATATGGAAATGGGGATGATATTTCTATTTGACAGGTTTTATATGTGTTGTATAAGACAACATATCAAAGCACCTTGTACATATCAAGTGTGCTATACATGTTCCTTATTTCCACTGTCATCAGGATAGTTCACTTTACATAGATGGTTTGTACTGGTAAGTTTCTTTTCTCAAATTAAGTCTGCTTCTAACTACCACTTATCTACGTAGTCTGTCACCTAGATTTGCATGTTTGGATGTATACACAGACCCACAAACCAAAAATAGTGGAGTGAGTTTAGATCTATTTCATCTGACAGCCTTTCGGATACTTATGGGTAGCAGTGGTGTCCCTCCTATATTTCTTACCCAGCTAACATGTTCCTCATCTGTTGAGGCAATGCTTCAATATAATAGCATTTTTTAGTAATTGTGTGATCCTTACAGTGAGTCTGTATAATTCTTAAGGTATAGTCTGCTCGTCATAGAGTGTAGTGAATACTTACAGTTGTGGTACACTTTCAGTTCCTCATGTAGGACTATGTTTTGCTATTGCAAGCTAAGATGGCTTTAGCTTTTACTGTGTGAGAATTCTTATCTTTTTGCTGATGTATTTTGCTAACTGCCATTAAGAGGAACACCAATATTTTTCTTTTTTTAATCATTGTATTTCTCGTATGGGTCATTTGGAAGTTAGATAAATATGATATCCTGTATCTTTAAGTCTTGGTTACAGTAGGTTTGGTTGCGTTGTGTACAATGGAATTAGAACCAGTGCAGGGATCTAGAGCACATGAGACTAACATTAGCCCCTCTTCAGACTATGAGTCAACAGTAGTCTTAGGCTGTACAATTTGCTGCACCTCCACATCACTAATGTACGATAGTTATTGCTTTACACTGTCTACTCGGATAGTATAAGAAACACTGAGGGTTCTTGCTGAGTTCAAGATCTCCTAAAGAGCTAGGCTAACAACCTTCTAACAAGGTGAAGTTAGTCTAATGTGAGGGTCACAGCTAGAATATGAATTACTTTTGATTACTTTTGATGATTTATTATTGACAGTCTACAACCAGAACACATATAAGGAACAAATAAATAGCTCCTGTAGTTGACATTAAATCTTAATTTGTGAATATTTTCTTACCTCTTTGTCTTTTGAGCAGGGTCTTGCCATGTAATACAGGTTGGCCTTGAACTTACTATGTAGCCCATGCTGGCCTGCAACAGTAACAGTCCTCCTGCCTCAGCCTCCTACGTGCGGGATTATAGATGTGTACCACCATGCCCTGCAACTTGTAAAATTTTAAAACAGCTAGAGGAATTACTTTTGGAGTAAGTTTAGCCACAGCTGCCAGTCAGCCATGTGATTATGAGGGGAATCAGCTGGTCCACTACCCTGCACTGTGTTGCCAAGTCAAGATGTTTGGTAGGTTAGGTGTATCGTCTCTGTTTTCTTTTATGAGGAATAGTTAAAAACAAGACTTTACCTTTAGGATTGTGGGATATACTGGTTTGAAATCAAGGCCAGATCTCCAACTGTAAGTAGACCTAAGATTCACAGTTAATTTTGTTTCTGTTTAGAAGAGCTATCAGAAGATGATCTGTTGAATCAGTATTCTCTTTCATGTACAAAGAAGACCAAGAAAAATGGTTGTGAAAATAATAAATCATTGAATTCTTCTGAAATGTTTGTGCCTGACCGGGAAAATGAAACTATTCAGACAAAAAGCTTAAATACACCACCAAGGACAAGAAATAAATTTGCAACATTTTTACAGAGAAAAAATGAAAAGAATGATGCAGTTGTAGTCCCAGGGACCAGAAGCAGGTACAGTTGTGTCTTCGGAATGTGGCTTTATCTGTTGCATTATGCACTGTGTGATATTTATGCTGTCTTCCATCATTACTAACTCTAGAGGAAGGTAGGGGTGGGACCTGCTCTGGCCTCACTGTGGTTGCATTGTATACAGATAGTTCCCAGCAGATGATACTTTGACTTAAGATTTTTTAGACTGGATGCTGTAACAGTGATACACTCAGAACTGTACTTTAAATTCTGAATTTCTTTCTATTCCGGGACTGTTGAGCGGTACCCTTCTCTCAGGGCACTGGGCAGGGACTGTAAGGTGCAGCTTCCGATTAGCCTTGTGATCCTCTACACTATACTCTGTCGCTAAGCCAAGCTGTTTGATGTGTTAGGTGTATTCAATGTACTGTCAAATGTAAGTATGTCCCATGTAGGATGGCTTTATCAAGACGTAAAGCCCTTTGTCAATTGGGGAGTTGCTGTGTCCATCAACTTCTGTTTTCTTAGCGCTCCATATAGAATTAAATAAAAGAGGTTCATAGCCTCTCTCATCACACTTTGCAGAAATTCTTTTACTTTGAGAAATTCAGTAAATGTCCTTACCTTATTTTATTTTTTCTACCTTTTTCGTTTTTTAGAGTTTTACAGAATATTTTCAAAAATTCTGTAAAATATGGATAGCCAAAGAGTTGTAATATTAAAACTATGATAACAAGTTGGCTGCCATGGTTACAAAAATAAAAAAGATATAGTATTTGTTCTTGGAATACTTTCAGTCTAATTGTGAAAGTAGGTGCACGAGCAATTTTTCCACATAGTACGGTGAGTATAGTGATTAAGGCATGTACATACCATTCTGGGTGTTAAGGCAGCGTCTAATGCTGAGGCAGCTGTTGCAAAGAGAGAGAAGGGATGATGTTGAATGTCACTCATGAACTTTGTGTGAATGATGGGGTGTGAAGCAGACCAGGACTGGAGCCAGGTCTCTCCTCTGAGTGGAGTCACACAGGTTGAGTGAGGGCATGAGGGAGAGGGCAGCATGGAGCCTGGGGCCAAGACTTTGCCGTAGATCACTGCTGCCCTTGCTACCCCAGAATGCAACTTGAGGAGAGACAGATGAGACAGGAGACCAGCTCATGGAAGTCACAGATGCCGAACTCAGCCAATAGCCTTCCTTAAACATGATGGGAGATATTTAAAGGGCTTTCACCAAGAGGTATAATTCAGTTCCTGAGATGGATAGATTATTCTGAGCACCCAAGCACCCCGTGAAAATGTATTTCAGAGGACCAGAAGTGGAGCACAAAGGTCAGCGCTGCTGTTGCCATAACCCCTGCAAGCAATGACTTGGAGGATTTGGAGCTTAGTTTATCTCGGGGACTAGGAATTTAGACCCCAGAGGCAGTCCGCTGGGTTTGAATCTTGTCATGTTCATTTCTGAGATGTTTGCCTTAAGCAAGTTACTTTCTGGATATTTTACTTTCTTTTAAAAATGCAACTTTCCAAAGTGTTGAGTTCAGTTCAGGCAGCTTCCCTGTTCTGTTAATTAAACTTTGGCACATTGAAATAGGCTAGAGGAGACTACTGGATAGAGAGTATTACTCTGTTCACTTACCTCCCAGCCTACAAAAATGAAAAGAAAAAGAAGGCTAACAGTTGTAACAACCTCAGGGTCTTTGAAGAACTGCATAAGACAGTGCCTGATAGATAATAAATACACAATGAATAGTTCTTATTTTATGGGCCTTGAATGGTGATGTATTAGTCCATTTTCTCTTGCTTTAACTGAATACAATAGACTGAATAGATTAAGAGAGGTCCACTTGGCTTACAGTTTTAGAGGCTGGGAAGGCTCAGGGTGTGGCACCCTTTCAGCAAGTGTTGCATGCAACCGGGGGTAGTAGAGGGCATCACGTGGTGAGGCAGAGCTCAGACCCTAACTCAAGTCTCTTACAAAGCCATTAATGCTACCAAGGGGGCCAGATCCTCAAGACCTCATCTAATCCTGATTATCTCCCAAATATCAGCACTTTATAAATTGAGGGGAACACATGCAAACCACAGCAGGTAAGAGGAAATGTAAATGTGAGAAGTTAGCTAGGGAAAACACAGTAACTTTTTTCTTTCATTTTAATGAGAGAAAAAAGATAAAATAGCAATGAAACAGTTTCAAAGCAGGTTAGTAGGACAGTTACAATAGTTAATACAATGCATATTGTTGTCTCCATAGTAATTATTCAGAGGAAAAGATGCAGACATGATATCTTGTCTAAACAATATTAGTACAAACCTTTCTTCTCATTGAACTAAGAGAAAGTAGCTGTATATCTATCCTAACTATCTTATATATGCATATATTTTTTTCACAATAAAATGGTCCTTTATTTATATCCCCCTTTTTTGTTTTGTTTTGTCAGAGATGGGTGTTTATTGCTGTTAGAGATATATTGATGTTAAGCTTAACTGCTTGTTATTACAGGATAATAATATCATTTAAGCTTCTCTTCTGGATGTTTAACAACTAAAGTTTGCAGACCAAAAATTAGACAGGTAGATGGAATAAAAAGATAGCCAATATTTTGGCCCTAGCCCTTCAAGGCCCGTGAGGACTCAAGATGTAAGAGAATAACCTCTGCTGTGACATACTGTAAGTGGTGTCCCACATTTCCTAATCAAGGAGATTATGGGGCCTCAGAGGAAAGTGATGGACAATGTAAAGTGTGCCTAAGGAGAGTCACCTAGAGAAAAAATTCTCTCAGGCTTTCACAGAGAGCAAATTGGTCAAGTAATGGCCGTGACTCATCCACATGGCTGGCACTGACAAAAGAGCCACAAAGTGCTGTACATGGTTCCAGGGTAAATCCTGAGGGGATTTGACTGACTTTATCAGATAGTTAAAAAAAAAAAAAAGAAAGAAACTCTTAAGGAATAAAGTTTGCGAGCACCTCTATTGTTCTAGAAGATTTAGAATAAATACTTTTTGGTTTTTGTTTTTCATGTTCAATAAATGAGGCTGCATACTGGGGGGTGGATCTGAGACAATGCACCCCTGGGTAGTGTTTCGGCCTCCCTATAGGTAATGCTTCAAACCCTTCTCAAGTCTTCTTGAGTCAAAATATGATGTCCTTCAATGATCTTTTAATTCTTGTTTTGCTAGTCATCTCCTAGAGCTGTTTGTTAACAAGGAATAGTGAAAAAGTAGGTCATGACAGAGGGACACTGGTTCATATATGCTGAACAAAAAGTTCCAGGAAGTTGGCCCTTCTCATTTGGAGACATTTTTGAAACTTTGTTTCTGTTTTCCTTTTGTGTAACACCGGAACTTCCCCTTTCTGCTGCTTAGTGTTAACCTCTTCTTGGAGACGACTAGGAACAGTGCTGTGTCACTACAGGACTTTTAGTCACTGAAGAAGTTTAAGGAAATCTCCAAGTTTGAGCTTGTGCTTAGCAGCTTTATGTTGCTTATTTAGATGTCTCACTAGTAAACTGTTCAGGTGGCTATTAAGAGATGCCTGGAGAAATATTTATTCCATCAACTTCCTGTGAAATAATAGCTAGGAATACTAATAATAATAATTGGGAGTCAGTTTGTGACATGTAATTTTCTGACCTGGATTGTATAGCAACATCTAAGAATAGCTAGCAATTACTAACTTAATTTTCAAACTGCTTTGATGTGTTCTCTTCCTTCTGAAAGTGCTGTGAGGTAGCGTAGAGTTAGGGTATTCTCAGCATCTCAAGTTAAGCGTTTGATGCTCTAAAAAGGTAAGCTTTTCCAGGATAACAACAGAGAGCTCCAGTCACAGTTGATGGGAATAGCTTGACAGGCTTGGATTTGAATTTTCCCTGTCATCTTATCGGCTGAGTGTCGTTCATATACCACTCAGGTCCCAGCCTTCCTTCATAAAATATGCACGATATGCATGGGCTGCGGGCTGGTCAGTAGACGCGCTGTGTGTGAAGCAGAGCACAGAGCCTTATCGCTGAGGCACGTACAAGCAGTCGTTATTGGTGTGCTGTTCTTTTACTCTATTGCAACTGAAAGCATGTGCTGAACATGTAAAACGTCTCTGATCTGGGTTTTTTAAGCCTGAATTATTTTCTACTAATCAGTGCTTATCCTAGAAGCATTCCAGTTTATCCTTGACAGCTAGCAATAAAACATCACTTAAGTCACACCATAGGCTAATTAAGAAGGAGCAGCCATGAAGCAGGAGGGATCCTAGACTTTAATTCTGTTCTTGCTGAGTATTTCTCTTTACCTATGAAACGATGCATGGGGGCGTAGTCAGGCGTCATAGGAATTACCATGAACTTACAGGTGAATTGTGATCAGATCTTACAATCGTAAGTATTCTGTTAAATGAAAAGCCTACTAGTTCCTCTTCCTGCCTATGCCCACATAGTTTATCTGATGAAAAGAGGATTTTTACTTCCAAACACTAAGTGAAAACTCTACTCTAGGATTTGAATCAGTACTTATTAGGGAGGTAAATTCTCTTTCAAGTTTCGTATTTACCCTGGCAGGTATTCTGAGACTTTTTTACACATAAAAGCTCTTCCTTGAGTCAGTTTCCTCAGCATTTATCACTTGTGCATGGGGGCACAAGATGTAAAAGAGAGTCTTGTCTAAAACTTCACCATAAAAATGAATTTCTAATTGTGTGAATTTTACCATAATCAGAATTTAAACTTTGATTGTAATTGAAGATCTATATTGCCTTTATGAAACTGTCTGTTTTGAGACTTTTTAAAGATTATGGGCAATTACTCCATTTGAATTTTAACATCCTGTATTTATGATGTTCTATTGTTCTTGGGTTCTTGTTAGGTTTTTCTGCAGTTCTTGGGAGTCTGCTGACTGTGTGTCCAAGAAGGTGAGCAGCCAGACTCCAGATGAGTCAGCAGTCGGAGGAGCCCTGACCGATCTCAGTGAGTCAGGCTGTCCGGACCCAGACGGCGGGAAGCCAGTAGATACAAGTGCGACACAGAGTTCAAGCACCTGCCTTCCTGGTGATGACGCTGTGTCGGCCCTTGAACAGCCTCAGTCTTCTCAGACCCACACATTCACAAGGACCTTTTCGCCACCCTCTCTGGGGACACCGCGAAGTTGTTTTAGTTGGTCTGGAAGTCTTGGAGAGTTTTCACACTCTCCGAGTACCTCTCCAAGCCCAAACACAGCGTTACAGCGATTCCGAAGAGAAAGCGATTTCCCCTCTTCTCTTACAAAAGACAGTAAGCTGCCTGACGCATCTCAGCCGAAGAGTGATGAGTCAGGTGACGAAGCTCAGCCCTCGCGTAAAGTGGATTTGCCATCACCGTCTCAGAACAGTATAGAGCTATCGCCACACAGTTTAAGTGCATCAGAGCTTTCTCAGCCTTCTAGTAAGGATTCCGATTCAGAGGTGAGTCAAATCAGGAAGACTTTGCTTTCAGTTTTATGTATAGGAGAAAATAAGGTGTTCAGCGATTGAGGATGTTTTGCCTACATTATGGAAACGACTAGCAATCTTAACATTTTATTCTAAGTTCTACAAATAAAGTTAACGTTTTATTCTTTTGAAGGACTTTTCTGTATCTTTCATATGTTCAACTCCTGTACATTTAAACTAATTATACTTCCTGAGTCCCTGTGTATGCCATTGATAGGGACTTGAGCTGTGGCTCAGTTAGCTCTTAAGCAGATAGTGTATGAAATGAAGTTGTTATTAGTTTACTGCTTAAATCCTCAGTACTGTATAACCTTGAATTCAGACATGACTTTGTAAAGAAATGGCCTGACAAATGTGCTGTTGTCTATCTTAAGTTTTAGAACTTAGAAAGCATTTTTGTTATTTCTGTTAACCTTTAGTTTACAAAAAAAAAATTTATGTTACTGCTTTAAATTAATGATAGCATCCTAACCCCTTTTTTCCTATGTTTTATTGTAACTTTATTTCTGAGTTTGATTAGACTAAAATCAAAACTCTAGGTAATACTCATAAGATCCTGTAACATTTTAAAATAGCATAATTGCATTATCTCAAATTTAATATATAACATTGTTTCATATTCACCAAGTATTACCAAGCTGAAAGTATTGTAACCACTGTAATAGCTGACAAAATTTTAGTGTCAGATGATCCTGAATATTGAGCACCATTTAATAAATCCATGTAGCTCATATATATCAAAACAAAAATACTTAAGTTCTCAAAAAAAAAAAAAACAACTTGTTATATTGGATTCACATTGAAGTGAAAGCCAAGCCACCATGTGGGAAGTAAATTGTTTTCATTTGGTTTATTTATTTTTGTGGCCATCTCAGTCTGCCCTGGGAGCGGGGCTGGCGTGGCATGTGGTCCCAGGGATCAAACCTTGGTCCTTGCGCTTGCCAGAGCATGCACTTAGTCCACTGAGCTATCTCGCCGGCCCTAAATTGTTTTCATTTAGAGGAAGCTGAAATCAGTTTATATATTTGAACCTTGAACTTTTCTGTGACATCTTCTAAATTTTTAGAAGCATCTCAAGGCAAACCTTCAGCTACCTTTGAAATTTTTGCTTTTCATTTACCTTCAGTTCGTTTATGTTAAATACTGTTGTTACTGATCTAGAACACTTGTTTCTTTCACTGTTTTTCCATTTTAGTGTCTTCCTCCTCCTCCTCTATTCCCTCCTCCCACTCCTGCTCCTCCTCCTCCTTCCCCTCCTCCCACTCCTTATTCTCCTCCTTTTCCTCCTTTCCCTCTTCCCACTCCTCCTCCTTTTTTTTCTCCTCCTCCTCCTGACGCCATCTGGGTACCACCACAGTTGTAAGTGTGTTGGCTTAAGTGTTTCTTTTCCCATCATGCATCTTCCTAATTCATTCACTTTGCAGCTTTTGGTCATGCTTTCCTGAGAGGTCTTGCTAGCCCACAGGCTGTGGTGGTCCTACCAGCACAGCACAAGTCTGTCTTCTGGCTGTCTTTTATACTAATCACTCATAGAGATATGAAGGCCTCACCCAAAATATAAACTAGGAATCATTCATTGAATCATTGCTCTTATAGCTTAACAGTAAATACTTCTTAGGATAGATCATCAATTCTTAAACAATTGAATGCTGCTCTATCTTTGATTTGGAAAATGTTCCAGGAAATAAAATGTCCAGAGGCTTTCTTTTCCCTGTCAGTTTCCACTATATGTTTCTGAAGGAAATATTTCAATCCTGGAGCCTTCTGCTGGACCCTCACTGTGAAAGGTGGCAACTATAGTTCACATTGGCCCCACCGGACGTTAAAGTAATCTTAGGATTTTAGGCTCTTATCTTTATTGTAAATAATGATTTAGCCCAGGGTCACCACCACTGTTAGCTCAGAACAAGGTATAATAGAGGTATATGATAAATAATTTTACATCCTCTTGGAAAAATGGGGAAATAGAAAGTGTTCCGATTTTTCAGTGCTTTTTTTTTATAGTGCTTTTTTTCTCTTTAATATTGAACGTGTTACACCATTAAAAGAAAAGAATTGGTGTCCTGGTTGTGCCTTTTGTACCTAGTAATTTATGAAAACAATCATCAAAGTTGGGTAACGGTTATAGTAGACTTTTTCTCTGAGTCAACGTTTTGAAAGGCTCCTCAAATGGTTCAAAAGAGCCTTCAGAAATACATTTTATAGAAATAGTTTACTTTTCCAACTTAAACATTTTGCTTACTATCCTCATTGAAACTGGCATCATCTTTTGCATATTATTTTCTTCTATTTTAGCCTATGTTTTTATATTTTCTTTCTTAGAAATTTTATTTACACTGATTGTTCTCATTTTACTTATTTTGTTTTCTTGAATATTAGTTGTCATAAATTCTACAATAAAAAAATTAATTTTTTTTTGTCTTGGGAATCTAGGAATCTGATTGTAATAGTAAGTCCCTTGATAATCAAGGTAATCAGAACTACAAGCAACATTCATCTCATTTTTCAAAGAAAGGGACACTTCTAAGGAATAAGGTAAAACATTTATTAAAATTTTCTTTAATTTTAGAAGCAGTACATGCTTATTGTGCATGCTTGTTAGCAAAAAAAGAAATATAGACAAAATTAAAATATTTGCTATCTGGTTTGTAAAAACGTCTATTAAACTTCCTAGTAGAGTATTTGTGCATAACTATAGGTATTCAGGGTGTTAAGTTGAAGCTTACATTCTCTTGTAATATAAAGACCCTTTTCTGTGTGCTATGTAATCATTGCTTATAATGACTGCAATATCCCATCATATGGCTTTATATAATTTATTTACTCTAAAAAATTGTCACTGTGCAAGATCTTAGAGAATAATCATCAAGTGTAAGAAAAGGAAAGGGAAAAACCATAAAAATTTACCACAAGCATAATAACACTGATTTGCTCATACAATCTTTAAACAAGTATATGGTAATGCACCAGTGTAATTGCCCTATTACAAGTCCTAATTCAAGTCTATTATACCCTGCCTGTGTAACTCTGAAGCTAATGCATGAAGCCTCTAACACTAATGTTAATTGTTGTGATTTTTTTTTCAATCTGGAGATGCATGATAGTGTTCAGTTCCTCTAAGTGTAATAAAATATCTAAGACAAAAAAAAAATTGTTGCTGTTGCAAACAGCATTGCCACCACGATCTTATGAGTAGATATTTGAGTACTGTTCTTGATTAATTTGTGGATTTGATTTCATAGAGTGGTATCACTGGTCCCAAGGCATGTGTGTTTTAAAGCTTTAGTGTATTTTGCCAGAAAGCCTTCTAAAAATTATCCCCACGGTAAACCAATTTTTAAAACTTCACCATTCTTTTACAACCCCAGCCACATTAATCAGTTTTAGAACTTTTTTTTTTTTCTGAAACTATTTTTTTATATACTTCATTCTTCTCTAAAAAGAGCAACATTAAGGGCCAGCCAAATAGCTCAGCAGATTAAAGCACCTGCTTAGGCAGACACAGGGACCAGGAGTTCGATCTGTGCTAGCCCCACCCCTGGGGTGCGCTGCGATGGTGATTGTGACTGGGTGTGATGGCGCACGCCTATAAACCCAGCACTTAGGAGGCTGTAAACAGGAGGATCACTAAGAGTCTGATCTCTGCAGTGAGACCCTGTAGACCCTGCCCTAAATTAAAAAAAAAAAAAAAATTTAATAATATAAAAACAGCAACATTCAAATGGCTCCACACTGTCCACAAAGTACAAAATCAGTCCTTCAGTAGGAACAAAAATGTCAGAGATTTAAGTAAATTATACCATATTTATACAATTGAACAGGCAACTTACTGAAAATAAAATTCAGTTCTACATATGACATGGAAAAATCTCCCAGATGTATCATTAAGTAAAAGCAAAAGAATGGAAGTAATAATAGTGTGACAAACACTGGTGTGTGTGTGTGTGTGTGTGTGTGTGTGTGTGTGTGTGAGAGTGTGTGTGTGTGAGAGAGAGAGAGAGAGAGAGAGAGAGAGAGATGCAGTGGATGTATGGGAAGCCTAACAGCAATTGCTTCTGGAAAGAGAAGCAGAGGGAGTTCATGAGACTCACTTTGTTCTTTATTCTTTTGTAATATAATTATCATTTCTGTAGTAGAGATTTGTAAATAACAATTTTTATGTTTCTTATGAGTTATTACTCTGTTCCATTGTGTAATGAATATTTTGAAGTTGACTAAAGGTAGTTGATTTGACAGAGTATTATTAAAACAGACATCTACTCTTCAGGTTCCTGGGCTATATAAATCCAGCTCCGTGGACTGTCTTTCTACCACCAAGATCAAAGCTCTGGTTCCTGCTAGAGTCAGCGGGCTAAGCAAGAAGCCGGCAAGTGTCCAGAGGAAAAAGCACCATAATGCCGAGAACAAGCCAGGTTTACAGATAAAAATCAGCGAGCTCTGGAAAAATTTTGGGTTTAAAAAGTGAGTTACCTTCGTCCTTACTCTGAAAGGGGATAAACTTCTTTTCAGTAATTCTAATTCCTTTCTCCTGTAAATGGATTTTTTTTTTTTTTCTGAAGTAGGGTCTTGTTATGTAGTTCAGGCTGACCTCAGACTCACAAAGATCCTCCTCCTTCAGCCTCCTGAATTATACTCTTAAATGAAAGCCCTGAAACAGCTAAGTCTATACGGGTTGTATTTGTCAACACTTGTAACCATTTTAGAAATGAAAATAGAGGGCTGGAGAGATAGCTCAGAGGCATAAGTACCTACCTGACAAGCACAAGGTCCCAAGTTTGATCCACAGACCCACATGCTGTATGCCCCAGAACCCTGGGCGTACTGTCTAGGCCCGGGAACTAGGTGTGGTGGCCCATGTCTGTAAGCCCATCACTCAGGAGGTTGAGACAGGAGGTTCACTGCAAGTCTGCAAGTTCAAGATCGGCCTGGGGGCTACAAAAGTGAGCACAAGGCTAGCCCAAACTGTGTAGTGAGACCCTATGTCAAAAAAGAAATGAAATGAAAATAGACATTTAAATAATATCCATTTTAAAAATAACAATAAGCCCATTACATATGAATACTGTATAATTTTATGAAAAATAGTTCTCTTTTCCAAAACAAAAAAAGAAAATTGGCAGTGTTTTTCACACAGCAGATTTTTACCATTTGTCTCTAGAACTCATCTGTATGCATTTCATCTGTTATGACCTGTCGTTTTGCCAGAGGACACTACAGGAAGGATATATAGCCCCATACATATTTGTATTTGGAAAGTGTATATTTTGGATATGCTTTTAGGTAACTGTTTATTTTCTTCATTGCTATTATACCAGAGCTTAATAAGCTTCCTTCTGCTTTTAAATATTGAGGATTGAATCTAGGGCTATATTCCCCAGTCCTTTTTCTTTTTATTTTTGTATTTTTGAGCTAGGTCGCACTGAGTTGCCTGGGTGGGGCTCATACATGAGATCTTCCTGCCTCATCCTTCCGGTCCTCTGATTATCATCCGTCCACACATGGCTCACTAGTGCATTTTCAGTGCATCTGTTACTTATGCATGATTTTGAGACATGTACTGAGTTGAACATCTTCGAAATACTGACCTATTTATAAGGAAAAATAAGCTTTGGAAAATTAATAAGTAGAAGTTACAAGTTTTCCAAAATTCTAATTTTTACATGAAAACTTGAATGTTATCATTGGTAACAAGTACTGCTATTTCTTTTGAAATAACAGACAGTATTTGTTCATTTTTGGGAAGCCCTTCACCAAGTACCTAAATTTGAATGTGTCACACATGTTTTTACCGAGATAACCATCTACCATGGTGCACAACACACGTGCTTTATATGTACTGCTTCCTTTTTTTTTAACCTCTTTTTCTGAGACAGGGTCTCACTATATAGTAGACTGACATAGAATTTACTATGTAGCTCAGGCTGGCCTTGACTCAAGGTAATCCTCCTGCCTCAGCCTCCCAAGGGTTGGGATTTCAGGCATATACCTCTACAACTGGCCTTATGCCTGTTACAGTTCTCATTCCAGAATCTCTGGTAGGGTCTCCACAGTTCTCCTATAGCATCAGTACAAAGGTCAGCACAGTGGAAATAAAGCCTAAATGTTATATTAAAATAATTTTGATATTATAGACACACTAAAGGACTTAAATCACTTGGAGTTCTTACGTGAAAGATAGCGTGAACTGATTCTAGAAGGAAACTATGGATGTAGTAGCCTTCCTACATATCTTCTAGAAAATAAGACGTTGATGTTTCATGGTTGTTGTCCGAAGGCGGAGTAACCCTTGTTATCATCATAATAGGATTAATATTTATGGATATAGAACTTCCTTCCAGCAAGGGAGTGGGGGTGGGGGTAAAACCTGATTCAACCATTAGTTCATTTCATTTATATTGGTTCTTAGCCAGACTTGGGAAGGCCACTAAGGAGAAAAGAATTAAAATCTCTTTACTGGAATCTTCTTGATTTAGCTTCTAGATATCTAGTAGTGGCTTAGCATCTATATTGAAAGGTAGTTTTCAAAGTAAAACTCAGAATTTATTGGAAGTACTAGAAGGAGACCTTGAATATGTTCCATAGTGAATTGAGACAGGTCTTACAGTAAAGGAGAAACTCTTTCTATACTTATATCTGTTTTTTTTCCAAGTAGATTATTTCTTCTGTAATCATCAGTACCCTAAAAGCACAAAATTTATTATTTTGCAGGGATTCCGAAAAGCTTCTTTCTTGTAAAAAGCCCCTGTCTCCAGTCAAAGATAACATCCAGCTGACTCCAGAGGCAGGAGAGGATATATTCAATAAACCCGAGTGTGCGCATGTTCAGAGAGCGATATTCCAGTGATCACCACTGACCACCCAGAAGCTGTCGCCTACACGACGACTGTATCCATCGGACTCCTTGTGTGGAAGTGAGGCGATTGGGGCCTGAACTATTTGGTTCTTAGGTGACATTTTAAAAATAGAGCACATTTTGTATATTGGCTGTGTAATTGTTTCTTTTGCTCAGCTTTTTATATTCTCATAAAAAGCTAAATGGAAGAATAATTTTGTCTTTTGACAGATTTTTGGAAATTATAGTGTATAATTTGACAAATCTGGAGCTTATGAAAATCTAAAGGTCTGTGTGATGTCCAGTATGAGATGTTAACTGGAGCTGGGCGTAGTGGTGCACACCTGTAATCCCAGCACTTGGGAGGCTGGGCTAGGAGGATTGCCATGAGTTTGAGGCCAGCCTGGGCTATACAATCGAGATCAAGGCCAGCCTGAACTATGTAGTGAGCCCTGAAAAAAATGATGGCTAATAGAAAGCCATATTTCTGTAATCTATTTATGCTAGAAGAAATTACTCCCTGCTTTAAATTGTTCCAGCTGACTGCGGGTATAGCTCAGTGGTACAGCACCTGCCTGGCAAGGATGAGGTCCTGAGTTCAATTCCTGGTTAAGAAGGGAAAAAAAAAAACAAAAAACATGTTTTTCTAGCGCCTTCCCTGTATTATTCTCTGTGTAGAACTGAAAATAAAGTTGCTCTGATGGAAGGGGCAGCTATCAAAGGACAGTTGTTTTCAGCCTCATGTAAAGAAACTTTCTTTAAATTTTTTTAATTCATTTTTTATTTGATACAGGGTCTCACTATGCAGTAGACTCATAGCGATTCTCCTGTCTCAGCCTGCCCAGAGCTGAGAGGATAGGTGTGAGCCACCACGCCTGGTTCCATCCCGCATGGCATGCAGTATCAGGGATGGGTCCTTGCACTTGCCAGGCAGATAGATGCTTAGACCTCCGAGCTATCTCCCAACCCAAGAAACTTTCTTATGTCATTAATATTCTTCAAACTTCAAAACAGTCTCAGATTTTCTTCATGTTTTTCAAATATGGGCTGAAAATTCCTTGACATTGTTTGCAAGTGGAGGCCCATGCACTGTGAAGCACTGTGGAGCACACTGTAGGGTCTGTGATCATGCTACGAAGGAACAGGTGCCAAGAGAGAGAACAGGCTACGCACGAAGGTCCAGAGAGCAGTAAAGGAATCTGTAATAAACAGGATAAAGGGAAAGGACCAGGATATATTAACTTTCCAATTAAAATGCGTAACAAGGAGGCTCAATCTGGAAAAGGCCTAGTCCAGAGAACAAATGCAGATTGGGATTCCCTGTGAATGTCTACTGGTATAGACGGATTAAGAATGTGCATCAGACATTGCATAACTATTTGCCTCCTTATTTCCTTAATATAGTTGTCAGGAAATGAATAGAACATGCCATAAATCCACAAGGGCTACAGGGTGGAGGAGGAAAATAATGCATGAAGATTTTCTAAATGGTTTTTCTCATGGCTGAAGCCAACAAAATAAAAAGCTCTAAATGGGGACCTTCAGGTCCACTGAGGCTGGAGGTGCTGCTAAAGGCTGGAAATGGGATGGATTCTGAAAACTCCAATAGGGTGGGGAAAGAAAGCCAGTTTTGTTTTGTTTTTGGTCAGCTCAGCCTGCCTGAGGGCAGATCTGGTGCGGAATGTGGGGCCAAGGATTGAACCTCGGTCTCCTGCACTTGCCTTCAGTTTGCCTAAGTAGGTGCTTTAGAATGATCTTGCCGGCCCCAAAGCAGTGCCAGTTTTTAATCTCCATATTCCAACAGAGCAGCAGTTAGCAGAATCCCAAGCTGATAGACAACCTTACAAATGTTGGTGACACCGTGTCAGTCCCAAAATATGAATGGTTACAGGTGAGCCGAGGGCCACAGCACAAGGAGATGGTGTTCGGGCAAAGCGGGAGGCGAGGGCACCCCACCTGGCATACTCAGAGGAGTGAGCGGGAGATCTGAAGCTGGCGCAGGCCCTGCGGGTCCCAGTGGGTGGGGGCGAGAGGCCGCGCGGCTGCGCGGACTGTGACAAATGACACCCCGCCAGGATTGCTTCCTTGCGGCCGGGGCTGCCTGAAGACCAGCTGCTGACTGAAGCCGGGATGCCAGTCTCAGTGGAAAGCCCCGGAAGTGAACACCCAGGACCATGAACAGTGCCTTCTGCATCAAGTTTGGGAAAATTAATATAAAATGAAACCATAGGTTAATCTCGTACAGAGCTAATCTGAAAAGAAAGAAATAACATCAACACAATGAAAATCTTAACCGTAAATCCGCGGAGCGATAGAAAAATACTTTATTTGAAAATGTGCTACCTGAGAGGCTGAAATAGGTTCTGTGAGTGGGCGGCCAGCCTGGACTCTGTGGGAAGCGTAAGGCCGGGCCGCGCAGCAACACCGTGGCTCAAAAAGAAAGAAAATACAAAATATGAAGGAGTTTAGAATTGGAATAATTCACAAGTGAGCCAAGGCTTCGAGAAACACTGGGGAGAAACGAAGCTAACCCGAGAAGGACAGCACACACTCCAGGTGATTGCAAAGGAATTAAGATGTAAAAGCGGGAAAGGTGTTTGTTTTTAATTCTTTAAGCAAAGTGGCACAGGCCAGCACTTTTAGGAGGTTGAGGCAGGAGAAAGGTCCCCCCTGGGGAGTGAGGCACATGACCAGGTGTCTGTCCCCAGGCCCGTTTTCCCGGGACGTATCTGGACCCTCTTACGGAAAATTTGGAAGCTCTAAGACTTCCTGCCCCAACGCCCCGCCCTCCCCTCCCGCTTCCAACCCTGGGCCCTTGCCCCATCTCCAGGTGGTTGTCCCTAAAATCCTTCCCACCCCCCTCGCCTTTTAGCTGAGACCCCTTGGGATCAGACTGGGATCTGCACTGGCTCTTCCCTGTCCCAGATCCCTGCCAAGTATCTTCCCTGTTCCTGGTGATGTCTGTCCTTTGGCCTCCCTTGTCCTCTCTGGGACCCCTTCCTTCTGCCCACCCCCGCCCTTCAGCCTGAGGCTGACTGGACCGAGCCTCCTGCTGTCCCCCAGCCTCTGTCCCCATGGCCTTTTCTGCCACTGCCTCGCCATTCGGTGAAGCCCCAGCCTGATCCTGGGCCTTCTCTCTGCCGATGCAACCTCCCTGGGAGGCTCCCATTTCTGTCTCCCCGTGGGTGTGCTGACTTCCCCTGCAAGAGTGGCTCTGTCCCCTCTGGTTCTAGAAAGCCCCTTCTCTCCTGCCCAGGGACCCAGGCTGAGCCAGCTACCCCCTCAACCCTGCACTGCCCTGGCCCACAGCAACCCGGAGCCCAGAAGCCAGCTCACTGCCCTCAAGGGGCCCCTCCCCCACTTCTCTCCAGGTTTCCCTCATCCACCCCTTGAAGTCTTCTGCATCTGAGACCTGAGCTCCTGTGTATGCAGCTGGAGGTCAGCACTTGTGCCGTGAAGCTGTTTCTCCTTCCTAGATTTGGTGAGAGTGTTATTTATGTGGAGGTCAGCACCCCCAGAGACAGACAGGAAAAGAGACCAGCATGCCATTAAATCAGGCCAAGGCACCTGCGGGCCGGACTGCTTTACCTGAGCTGCAGCCTCCTCAGTAGAGAAGCAAGCTGACCATCTGGGAGGAAGTCACGATGTTCAGTGGACTGGCAGCTAGGCCCCATCCCCACCACCCTTGTCCCACTCCACCTGCTCAACGGTTCCTGAGGTTTTTAGGGTTTCTTTTGTTTCTTTGATTTTTACTCTACAAGGGTCTGGACCCCAAGGTACTCTACCACTGAGCTCCATCTCTAGATTTTGAGAAAGGATCTCACTAAATTGTCCAGACTGGCCTCAACGGGAGATGCTCCTGTCTCAGGTTCTAGGCACTGGGATTAGAGGTGTGTGTGACCACACCTGGCTGGTTCTTGAGGATTTTGACACATAACTACATAAGCCAAAAGCCATTTGTTACCAAACCACCATGAACAGCTGCATGGTTTCTAAAAGATCCACTTGCCCAACTGCCAGCCTTACAGGTATAGTTTCCTGGATCATAGGGAACCCAGACCCCAATCTTCAGGGAGGCTCAAGGGGGATCTCTGGTCCTGACCTCTGTCCAGACCCCAGCAGCCATCTTGGATCTGTGTCCCCAGAGTAGCTCCAGGGGGGCAGGTGGACCAAATACACTGGGAGGGTCAGGCTGATGTTGAAATGGATCAAGGCTAGAACTAAGGTGCCCTCCTGAACTTCTCAATCAGGATGCATTCAATGGTGAATGGCTGAGCACAGGGAAATCCATCACCTTATCCGTGAGGCCAAGGCCCTGACCTTGCTGGGCTTTATCCTGGATAAGATTAGAAAACTCATCTCTGGTGATGTTTTTATTTGCTATGAGGGGAAAAAAAAAAATTGAGGATGAGATCACTTGTAAGAGAATCAGATGTTGATTTTTCAATCCAATCCAACAAAGTTTTGTGTTACATATCAAAGACACTACAGTTTTTTAAAAGTAATTATTGGCACATTTTAGATACACATAATAATCACATACATCAGAGAATTTGTACCTGTGCATAATGTCTTGCTTTTTTTCCCATTCCCCTCCCCTCCTCCCTTCAGCCCTCTTCTCCTTCTTCTTTACAAAAGATCCCTGGCTGCACCTAGAGGGTGGACCCCCTGGCAGGTGGCTAGGAGGTGGGTTAGGGTTAAGACTTGGGTCACGTGCTGAGAACAAGGGTTCTGGGTCATTGGGGAGCAGCTGTGAGTGCAGCAGAGGTGCCAAGGGCGGATACCAGGACTGTGACCACGCAAGACCAAGTCTTGCATGTGAACAGAGCACGCCACTTGCTGTGGCAGGAGACATGGGCCGCTGAACGCAGGGGACAAGTGGGCAGGGCAGTTCTTTATGTATTTTGGCTATTAGCCCCTTTTCAGATGCATGCTTTGCAAATATCTCCCCCATTCCATAGGTGGGCTGTTCACTGCTCTGGATGCCTCAAAGTTTTTACTTGGATGAACTTCCATTTGTCTGTTTTTCTTTTGTTGT